AAGGGTCTTTCTCCTTATGAAAAACTTCACGGTCTACCTCCACCTTATGATCATTTAAGGTCCTTTGGTTGTTTGTGTTTTGCTACTTCATCTAGAGTTGGCAGAGATAAATTCCAAGCTAGAGCTATTCCCTATATATTTTTGGGGTACCCCTTTGGTAAAAAGGGTTGCAAACTTCTTAACCTTAATACCCATTCCATTTTCTTTTCCAGGGATGTTATCTTTCATGAACATGTATTTCCCTATAAGTCTGATCCACCTTCTACTTTTCCCTCCTCTTCCATGTCTGAATTTGTAGACTTTTCCTCCTCTTCTTCATCTTCCCCTACTCCTGCTATTTCCACATCTCCAGATTCCCATATTCCTTCACCTCCTTCTACTTCTCCTTCTCCTATATCTGATTCTTCTCTTATTATTTCTTCTCCTCCACCTTTGAGAAAGTCAACCAGAACAGTCCATCAACCTTCCTATCTCAAGGATTATGTCTGTTCCTCTGTCTCTTCCTCTCATCCTCTTCCTTCCTCTTCCAAGATCTCTTCTGCTGACATACACATGCATGAGCCCCAGTTCTACCAGTAGGCTGCCTCACATCCTGCTTGGCAAGAGGCCATGCTAAAGGAATTTCAAGCTCTTGAGGCAAATCAGACCTGGGACATTGTACCTTTACCTTCCCACAAGAAGGCCATTCCTTGCAAATGGGTTTACAAAATCAAACAAAGGGCTGATGGTTCTATTGAAAGATATAAGGCCAGGTTAGTCATTAGGGGTGATACCCAAAAGGAGGGCATTGACTTTACTGAAATCTTTTCCCCTGTTATCAAATTAACAACCATCAAATGCTTACTCACTTTGGCTGCTAAGTGGGGCTGGACTGTGTTTCAACTTGATGTGAACAATGCCTTCCTTCATGGAGATCTTCATGAGGAAGTTTATATGAAGGTTCCACCTGGTCTTGATGTATCTGCTCCTACTTCTTCTCCTCCCTTGGTCTGCAAACTCAAGAAGTCCCTATATGGCCTTAGGCAAGCTTCTAGACAGTGATTTTCAAAACTGTCTGAAGACTTGCAATCCAAAGGCTACATTTCCAGCACGAATGATTATTCATTATTCACTAAAGTCTCCTCTGACTCTCTGATTGTTTTGGCTGTCTATGTTGATGATATATTGCTGGTTGGTAATGATGTAGTTGAGATGAACTCCTTGAAGTCTTTCTTGGATGCTCAGTTTAAAATTAAAGATCTGGGGTCAGTTCACTATTTTTTGGGGTTGGAAATCTCCCTTATTCCTCAAGGTTATATGATGAGCCAGCACAAGTACACTTCTGACCTCTTAGTTGAATTTCATTACCAACATTTCTCTCCTGTTTTGACCCCCTTAGACCCTTCTGTGAAGCTTGTGTTAGACATGGGACAACCTATTTCTGATCCTAGTTTGTATAGGAGGTTAATTGGCAAGCTCAACTTCTTGCAACACACTAGGCCTTATATTTCTTTCTCTGTTCAACATTTGAGCCAATTTCTCCAAAAGCCTCAAGTTCCCCATATGTTGGCAGCCTTTCATGTCCTCAGATATCTACTCAATGATCCAGCTCAGGGGGTGCTTCTCTCCAGCTCATCTGATTTGTCTCTAACTGCATATTCTGACTCTGATTGGGCTGCATGTGCCATTTCTCGCAAATCTGTCACTGGTTATTATATTACACTTGGTGGTAGCCCCATTTCTTGGAAAAACAAGAAGCAACCCACTATCTCCTTGTCCTCATCTGAAGCTGAATACAGAGCTCTTCGTAAAGTTTCAGCTGAAATTTCTTGGCTGCTCAGACTCTTGAGTGATCTTGGGTTGTCCATCTCCAGCCCAGTTCCCATTTATTGTGACAACCAGGCAGCCCTCCATATTGCCAAGAACCCAGTTTTCCACGAGCGTAAAAAATACATTGAAATTGATTGTCATTATGTACGCACTTGTTTACAGGATGGTCTGATTTCTTTGCATTTTATCTCCAGCTCCAACCAGTTAGCAGACATTATGACCAAAGCTCTTCATGGTCCAGTTCATCATAGTCTCATTTGCAAGCTTGGTGTTTTCTCACCCTTAAGCTTGAGGGGGGGGGGGGGTGTTAGCCCAGATACAGCTCAGGCACAAGTTCAGGCCCAACAGTCACAGGCCCAATCTGCCAAGGGAAAGCAGAAGGCCCTTTTATAGTTTTACACTTTACATTTTTATATTACATTTTATGCTTTATTACACATGTAAATATAAATAGAGAATACTGAGTAATACATTTTGGATTTTTGGTCAATTAAAAACTTGACCGACTCATTTTTCAGTCTCCTTCTTCTCTCAACCCTTCTAGAATTTTCTTCTACTAACTTCCGCCATGACTATCGAGCTTCGACTCTAACAGTAAATGTAGTTGCAGGTAATTAATTAGGATGTCAAATAGACGTACGAATTGAGCTAAATTTGGGTGAGGAAATGTATTGAATCAGTAGACGAGTTGGGTTAAAATCCTATGTTATGACGCAACCGTTCAACTCAAAATCATTTTTAATTTGTTT